GGGGGGGGGGGGGGGGGGATCCAACAAGTTTAGGGGCCTGCTTAGGAGTTCGGCCAATATTTAATTTTTGATGTATATCTATATATATATATATGTGTGTGTGTGTGTGTGTATTTGCAAAATAAATTTAGATATATGTGTATGCATATTGAACTCTAAAAACTATATAGGATAAGATTAGAAGTGATTATATTAGATAAAGATCATCAAAAATACATAGGATAAAATTTAAGAGAAGGCTATAACTTGAATTTATTTGAATACGATTTATATAGACCTTCAGATGCATTAGTCAGTAGATGCAATATTATGGTGAATAGAACAAGATACACCTATTACACCATAAGAAAATGTCTCAAAGCCAATAAACTTTAGAATCAATATTGAGTTGGTTAAGAATATAACATATTGGAAGAAAAATTCATATAAGCAATATTAACTAATTGAAATTAAAAAAAAACCATTAAATTCACATCAAATCCGAGAAGACAAGCACAAAAGTTAGACATTCCTTTAAAAAAAAATTGAAAATTTGCTTATTATAAAATTAAATGAGTAGAATATATAGAGAATTCACATTAAGAAAGCAAAAAAATTACACAAAGTGTGGCTGCTGGGATTCGAGCCCAGGTCTCCACGGCCACAACGTGGAATTCTTACCACTAAACTACAGCCACAGGATGAATGCAAAATCGTAATAGATCTAATTAGTTAAGTCTTTTACGCTTACAAAATAAGAAAAGAATTTGGTTAGAAGCACAAATATATGAAAGATCATTATATATCATACCATATATTTCATACATGTGCATTTTGGTTTTTCATACCAACAATGATTTCTTAAGACGTTTGAAAATATACAAATAATCCATTTCTAGCTTCTTCTTTTTTGTATAAGTATTACTTATCGATATGTTATATGAATTTGATTCTAGTTTTAATTCAATTACTCTGGTAGGAAAAGCATATTTATTTTTCCTAATTAGTTTGGCATTTCTACAAGACCCTTCATGTTATCACACTTTCTTAAAAACATTTTATAGTCTGTTTGGTCAAGCTTTTGAAAGGTAAAAAAATGTTTATTTTAGAAAAGTAAGGTGTTTGATCAAGCTTTCACGAGAAAACAAGTGCCGATCAACATTACTACAAATGCATTTCGATAACATTCACAATCCTATCTGATTTATGATTTATCCTATGCACAAAATACTCCTTAACGGGTAAAAGAATGGGTATCAATAAACTAAAATGGGAATTTTTGTATATATGTCACTAATATTAAAAATCAACAAGTGAACAAAAGGTGTCGTGGTGTAGTTGGTTATCACGTCAGTCTAACACACTGAAGGTCTCCGGTTCGAGTCCGGGCGACGCCAATTCTATTTTGTGAAATAGACAACATTCTTCTTTTATTTTTTTTAATTATATATTCAATTAACTAAACAAGTTAGGAGGTAACGGAGTGTTGTTTTGTTGTTTGAATGTTTAGGTTTGTTCGGTTCATGTAGTTCTTGCATTAAATATCTATCATCATTTATTGTGTTTCGATTATCACATTATTTTGCTGTTGCTATTGTTCCTTTCTTGTAAGCTTTGCCGATGGTCTTTTGGAAACTGGCTCTCTATCCTACCTCATGGGGTAGTAGTAAGGTTCTGGGTACACTTTACCCTTCCCAGGTCCCATTTATGACATTCACTGGGTATTCACTGGGTATGTCATTGTTATTGTTGATTACATATTCGATATTCAAAATCAATTCAAATTTGAGCTCTTAGGGCTCACTAAAGGAGAAACACTCCCTACATAAGAAATGACTCAAAAAAACATTGAAACTTGTGACCTCAAGCATTTTTTGAGATACTTGTTAGTTGTTACTTGTTACTATAGCAAAGGATTATCTTATAAAAAGAATTATGGTTTTGCCGTATTTGTGCAGTCCAATTTTTCAACAAAGGAGATTGATGAAGTTAATCCCTTTACTCTTGAGGATGATTGAATATGAGATTGTTGAGCATGCAACACAATCGTTTGGTTTGAGGGATAAGATATTATAGTCGTGGGAATATATCGAGGATAAGTTTATCCCATATGTAGGATTTTTGATTCAGAACTTAATCTGACAGAACAGGCATAAACCCCTTTGGTTTCAAACAAGGACTAGAACAATTTACTTGCTTTCAGTTCTTGTTAAAGTAAAAAATGAACAAAAGAAAAGGTCAACAAGAGGATGTGTATTTGCATATATATAGTATATCATTACATGCTATTACTGATGGATAGCAACATAAAGAACAAATTACACCAGAACTTGATCAAAAACTTTACGCGCAAATGAATATATATTATGCAGCTGTATACAACACAAATAAATGGTACACGATTAAAGACAATCTCCTAAATACACGACCAAAATGCAGAAAAATAGTAAATACAACTATGGTCATTACAAATCCAAATGTAACCTAAAAGTTGTAACCTTGAAAAATAATGGGCATCAGAACAAAAACAGCTTGTTCTGTTTCCATCATTCCTTGTTTCTTGAACATGAGAGGCAATTAACCAATCATGTTTGTAATGCTACATACATCAACTAGTTTCAGAGACGAATCCTTCCAAGATGTAATCTGGTTGAAATCAATTTTGGAAGGGAAAATAATTACCAGAAGTTGTGGCATCTGCTACTCTTAGAGGAAACCTCCATCAGTCCATTTGGACTCTGATTTTCCACCATGAGCAACATGTTTATTGTTAGGTGCACTTTGGAAATTATCAAATCCATCATCTTTACCATCATCCCAACCAGCCCAGCCATCGTCATTACTGGATGTGGCCCCTCCGGTAGGATTTTCTTTCCTGTTGTCTTTACTATCCCAATCATCCCAGGACGCTGAGCTGACCGAATTGGCCTGCCTACCAGATGATTGTGCTCCTCCAGAAGAATTCCATCCTTTAGATGCCTGACTGGATTCCTTATAATGGCTGTTTCGTTCATTTTCACTTTGTTGCCAGCTATCGTCCCTCGGGTTTGGACCCTCAGCGAATTCCTCAACTTTCTGCGAAGCTAAAGCTAAGACCCCCTTCATGATACCCCAGCCCTTCTGTCCAATCTCAGTTGTTTTTGTTGCGACAACATTGACTGTTTCATTCATCTTGTAATCATAACCACCCTCTGCCACCTGTAAGAGTCGGATTACACAAGCATCTTACTGAACATTCATAAATCCCTGCCTCTTTGTCCAAAAAAACTAGAAACAATAGAGTTGAGAATACAGGCTATATGACCAAAAACTTAAATGAAGACTGGGAAAATACACAACTAACAGTATTGTGAAAGAGAGGGGATTGACTCCTGCTCGACTAAAGTATAAACGGTCAGTAAATTGAAAATTATATTATACGTTTGATAGAAATTCTCATCCCTATGAGCATTGAATAATCACTACGGACTCTTAAGTGATTGGAGAAGGATCAAACACAAACTAACCTGCAACTTTAGCAGAAGAAAACTCCAACTCATAATATGAAATAATTGAAACATATATTGCAACCTTTCTTCCTATGATGCCAAGTTCCGTTAACTTTTAAGTCACAATTTTCGGTTTTCAATTAATACAATTCGACTGTACTGTCTTCTTTCTCATGGCAAGATAAAGGGGAAAACTAATTTTACAGATGCTCAACTTCATATAGAGTAACTCCCAAGACGAGGAGTTCTACCATTAAGGATTATAACTAGAGAGGTGGAGAAAGACTCATAATATTGTGGAGGGAAATCTTGGTTATGATAAAGTGCAACAAACAATTGCTTCTTTCCCATGCTTTCCCCTAAGACCTTCATAGAGAAAAACTATCTTGAAGATGAATTTCCCTTTTGGCAGCCCCTAAGGAGGATCCACTTAGCTTAACCAAACTACTAGTAACTAGGCTAAGCATTTCCAAAACTCTCTCTCATCTTATTCAAGATATTCAAACTATAACATATGCATATATTGTTATGATTTATTAGACCTAATAGGTCCATTTCTAATTGAAGATACCAAAACATCTTATAAATTTGTATGGTCTTAGGGTGTGTCAAGAGGTTAAAACTAAAAAAAAAGTTTGAGAAGCTATCAAATAGCTATTAACCCAAAATTTCTCAGGCTTAGTACATGTAAGGTTTACACTTAACATATTTTGAAGTGTTTTATGAAGCTTAAAAGTCAGTAAAGCTCACAAAATCAATGTAAAACAGAATGAGCATGTTTTACTCCATCTATCTTATCTCCTTCTAATAGTTATTCAAATTCCATCTGATCTCATAAAAACAAGACTTATAGGCTAAAAGATTTATGAAGAGCATCAACCATTTCTCCCATTTACGTACTAAACCAA